ACGGCCGCCGTGGGGAAACGGGCCCCCGGCCGCGGCCGCGCGCAGCCCCCAGCTCACCCCGACGGGGCCGGACCAGCGCAGCGGCGGCGCTGCAGGAGGCGGAGGCGCGTCCAGCCGGTCCTGGCTGAGGGCTACCGGCAGCAACAGCTGGAGAAGGAGAAGGAGAGGGCCGAGGCCGTGGAACGAGTGCGCGAGACCATCCGCAGCTCCCTGGGGCCGCTCCATCGCCGCCGAATGCCGACGCCGACACCTGCCGCCCGGCGCGCCCGCCCACCCCCGCCGGCGCCGCGCCACACCCCCGAGCTCCATCCCGGCGCTCCTTGGATACGCGCAGCCAGGCCTCTCCGCCCCCATTGGTTGGCAGCCTGTCCTTCTTTTCTAGCCCACTTCTCATTGGCTCGCGTCGTCTCAGGCTTCGGGGGTCTTGGATTCGGATGCCAAGATGCGGGACTGATTGGCTGGAACGTGGCAGAGACGGTTGAGGTCATCCCCCTCTCCTGGCGTCTTGGGGCTGGGCCTCCAGAGTTAGCATAGGAGCTCTCTTCCGCGGGTCCCCGCTTCAAGCGCCAGGCGGCACCGCAACGCCCGGACCCCTCCTCACATTTCCTTCAAGTTAGGCCTGGGCTAGTACCCAGACACCCCAGAATATCCTTCGACTGCGGCAGCGCCTAGGAAATCTGCTCAGGGAATTCCTGAGCCTCTTGAGCCTGTGCTTCACTTCAGGGTTTTAATTAACCCTGACGCTCTAGAAGCACTACCCCGGCTGCCAAGAAGTGAATGCGAACTCTGTGGGCCTAAGGGTGCAGAGGCTGTCTGACATCGGGGCATCTGCAACATGTGCAAGCATGAAGACTTTGCACCACTTGCCTCTTCTGCAGAGAAGTGGGCCATTATTTTTGGTTTCTCCGGTTTTAGAGAATAGCTTGTTGTGTGTACCATCGAGTTGGAATCGACCCTCCAGAGGGCTTTAAGAAGCAGTTCATCGCAGAGAATATCCAACTCTGTCCCGCGGAGTAGCTGTCAGATTCGAACCACTGGTCTTTGGCACTGCAGCACAGATTCTTACCACTAGGCCACCAGAGCTACGTAGAAAATAGCTTAGACGTTCCAGTTCAAACCAAACCTACCTAGACAAGCTAATTCAAAGCAAACCTACTGCCGTGGAGTAGATGCCAACTCATAGCAGCACTTGTAGGGCAAGATACAAGTAGCGTAGTGGTAAGGAGTTGCACTGCTCATGCAAAGGAAGGCAGTTCGGATTAGCTGCTCAGGAGGCGCAAAATGGGCAATCTCCTCCTGTGACATTTACAGCTTCTGAAAAACCGCTGGAAGGTAACCTATTGGTAGGTTCCAACTAACAGCTGCAGAGAAGTTCTACGGTTGTAAATAGTTTAGGATGATTTCGGTTAGCAGTCTAGCTTTGACTATTTCACCACCAGCACTCCTTGCTTAGGCATTAACCAGCCAAAAAATACCAAGCTCCCTCCATTCTGACAGTGCTGCAAATCCTAACGAGAGGAAACGTCCTCGTTTTCCTCCCTAGCAGCCTCAACATTTAACCTACTTAAGTCATGAAGACTCCAACAGGCACAGATAAGAGGGACAAGAGAATTGCCCACTGCTTAGACTATTATACATGGTCAATTCACAGCCAGATATTTCTCTTTACCACAGTGCCTTAACCTAGTAATGAGGGCATTGCACAAGTCTGGTGTACTTGAAGTCTCCTAAATTAACACCCACCCCCAGTAAATAAAACAAAACCCTAGACTATTCCTGAAAGCCAGCTGACGTGCAGCTCAGGTAGAACCAGTTCTCCATCCCAATGACACCATCCCTTCAAAATGCTAGAAGCTGTCCAATAGAAAAAAGTTGAAAAGAGAAAGATACAAAATATGCATAAAGTTACACCTGAATAAAGAAGACAAATGAAAATTACCTTTTCACTATAAACGCAGTAAACTCAGATGAGAGTATATTCGTTGTAGAGCAAAATGGTGCAAAACACCCAGCTCAGTGTTCATAACAAAATCCTTCTAGTCACTATTTGCTTGAAAAAAAAAATTCTTAATCTACATTTCCTAGAACAATCATAATAAAATGAGAAATGGAAATAATTTTTGAGTGGCATCTGAGCAGCATGGTAAATTGCCTAAAATAGCCCTAAAACTTCTTAACTACTGAACTGACAAGATAAAAAAAGCTTGATGAAAACAACAATTTGTTCCTTTCTGTACCTATCATGTTTCAGAATAATTTCAAAATAGATTATTTTTTAATCTATGCCAGCTATGGAGTAGATCACAAGACAGTCAGTTCCTGTAGCATGTGATGGGTAGGGAGGAGAAGAGGGGTTATAAGGAATATTTCTTTGTTTGGATGACACAAAGATGAATGGTCTATTGTTTTACTGTCTGAAAACGAAAAAGCCAGCTCAATATTGCCATCTACTGGAATAACTACCAAATACTACCAATAAATTATTAATTTATTCCATGAAAATTAACTCCTAATCATGGCAGTAATTTGTGCACCTTCATTTTTTAATTTATTGAGTTTAGTTGTATTAACATACTTAGGGTATAAATAATCTCTTTCTCAAATTGTATCAGCTGCTGGAGACATGTTGTTGTTGATTGCCTTTGAGTGGAGCAGGACTAATACAACTCTATGAACAAAAGGCCTGCAGCTGTTCTACAACTATCGTCGTTTCTCCAAGTTCATAGATTTACCAGAGGCATATAGTTTAGGAAGTGGATGCCCCTTCTGCTTCCAGAGCTGCCTTAAACTGGGAGCTCCACCAAACACTGTCCACCATGGGCAGACATTATGGCATTTGACCCCATAATGGCACAAGGTTCAGCATCGCAGCAAACCCAGATTATGTTACCTAACATATATTATGCTGACTAAATATTTTAGTAAATGGGCTCTGTATTTCTTTAAATGGCACAAGCACTAAATAAAAAACTTTGTCAATTCTACTTTATGAAATGCTGCAAATAAGATCTTAACTGATCTGCAAGACCAAAGTTGTTTTTGTTATGTGCCATCGCCATCAAGTTCCCTGCATAGTGATCTTATGCACAATAGCTCTGAACCCTGTCTTATTCTGAGTCATTTTCACTGTCTCTGACACATCTAACTCCATTACTCTAGTTACTGTGTCAGTCTGTCTCATCCAAGTTCTTCCCCCCTGTGCTGCCCTCCACTCTTCCAAGCACAATGTCTTTCTCCAAGGCATGGAGAATGCCAAAATTCTATGAGATGGAGCTTCAAAATCCTTGCCTTTGTGAAGAAACTTGGTTTCACCCTCTACAGAACAAACCCATTTGTTCTCTTGGCTCTCCATGTAATGTTCAACACCCATCTCCAACACCACAACTCAAAGGTATCTATTCTTCTTCTGTCATCCTTAATCATTGTCCAGCTCTCTGAAACAAAGCAAGTAATTGTAAAGACCATGGCCTGGATCAGGGGAATCTGTCTCCAGACTGACATCATTGCCCTTTGTCACGCTAGAGAGATCTCTGACAGCAGATTCTCCCAATGCAATTTGTCTTTTTTTTAATTATTTTTTATTGATATTTTAACAAAAAATGACAGAACACTTAGATTTCTATTCATTCATTCATTCTTGCACATTTTCCTCCCTACCCCCCCCATTCACTTTTCTCCTTAAAAAGATTCTTTCATTGTTGCATAATTTCCTCCCCCTCCCAGTCCACTTTCCTCAAGGTTGATTTTGGTTCTTGTGGATTTGTTTTAATTTTCCTTAACTTCAGCTTGAACTTGCATGTGTAGTTGATGGTCTATTCCACAATCTACACCTGGCCTGTGTTCATACAGTGAATATTGGGCTTCTCCAATGATTTTTTCCCCCCACAGATGTAATCAATGTGATTCATGTGTAGACCATCAGGTGAGGTCCATGTGTAATTTTATTAAAAATTTTCATTTTCTCCAAGATAAATTCAGACAAAGCAATAGTTTTCTTTTCAGGAATTGGCTGCTTTTTTTAGCATGGTTGCTTCTTTATTTCTGTGGATACAAAAAGGGATTTTGTAGAAAATGTTATTGTTTTTTTAAAAAAATCTAAAGGGAACCTAGAACCAGGAGAATGGGATCTTATAAGACTCAAATTCCTATGCACATCCAAAAACTTCTCCAATAGGGTAAAAAGGGAAGCCACTGACTGGGAAAAAGTATTCGGTAATAACATATCAGATAAGGGACTTATATCC